TTGCTAACCCAACACGCTTCTGCAAACAAATCTGTTGCTTTTTTGTTGCTTCTATCGACAGGAGTTGAGCTGGAATACAGCGCACTGCACCAAGCCAAGTGGCTGCTCGGCCAAAACGACTGGGCTGGGGTGGGATCTCCTCAGAATCTTCAGCGTCTTGACATGTTCTACTATATAGATGTATCTAAATGTGTTCTTTTTCAGCCTCCCGAGCAAACATTCTTGCCAATTAAGGCGTAGAAGGCAGTGAAGGTCAAAAAGGAAACTCAGCATGCATTCAAGAAAATGTACCTGTCATCTGGTAAACTTAAGTCTAAAGCCAAAGGCCGTTTCAACGCGGGAATGCATTTGACATGTAAACACATGTGTTCATGGAAAAACACACCAAACAATGCCCAAAACTTGGCCAAAGGGCAAAGAGCGAGCGGACTGCCTCCACCACAGCACCTGGATTGCCTTTGCCCTTAGCTTTCCGTGTCTTCTCTTTCTTATTGTTTCTTTGAAATATGTGACACATGTGTATAATGTGTTTGTTTTTCAGTTTCCTTCCTATGTTTCAGTACATCTTCACACTTCAGACCTCCCTTTCTCCCTTCCTTCTGCTATCAAAGTTGGACGCGAAGTCCGGATAAAGACGATTGCGTGACCGAACTACAAATCACCTCTGTCTGGTGTTTATTGACAGTAACATATAGTAGCAATGACTTGCTCCACACCGTTTTTGCGGTCTTTGGTGCGCAAAGCTCCAACCAATCTCGAGACTGCCGAGGCGCAGATGTACACTGTAACCTGGCTTGTGCTGCAACTGATTCGACTTCAAAAAGACAAGGTTTCTCCAGCGTGCACACTGAAAAGTGACAACATGACATCAAGCTATTTCACACTCAAAAAGGATTTATTGATCTTTTTGAGGCCCCTGTCAACTGTGAACTGTGCGGGCTGGGACAGGCCATCGGGAGGATACTGACTCAGGCACCATTGGCTTCGGCTGGTCCGATTGCAGGGGCCGTGTCGGATTGCCGGAACACTTCGTGGGCAGCAAGGCTCTCAGGCTCTCTAGACAGGAGCCCCTAGTACCGTCCTTGCTCCGAGTGGTAAGGCCAGGAGCCTCTAGTAGCTTCTTGTTACTAGTAGCGATGCCAGGAGCCGGAGCCCCTAGTAGCTTCTTGACCAACCAATGCAATCTTTTGCCAACAAATTTGATGAAACTTGATGCCCAGCCACAGTTCCCAATGTCTTGCAGCCAGTTCGTTGCTAGTGTCTCCAGGCTCATAGGGAATCAAAGACCTCATTGTGGGAATTGTGGGGACATCCAAAATGATTTCATGGGTCACAAAGGTTAACAAATGTTAACACTATCGTGAATTCTCGGACAGATTCAAAGGGGAACACATGGCCTATGGCCTCCAACCTAAGAGCTAGCTACATTAGACCGTTCTTCCTTTTCTTGTTTTTTCCTAATAGCAAACATTGTTCCTAGTAGTAAGGCACTTGTTTCTAGAAGCTATGCACTTGTTCCTAATAGCTTCTTGTTACTACTAGTAAGGCACTTGTTACTAGAAGCGATGCACTTGTTCCTACTAGCTTCTTATTGTTTCGATGTTCGAGAATTCACCGGCCAAGAGGCCAGGCATTAGCAGCTCGCTCGATGTGTTCCTGCAGTTGCTGTCGCACCGCCTCGGCACCTGGAGCAGCTTCCACGAGATTGCCGGTGTAACAAGAAGCTACTAGGAGCAAAGGGTATCGCTACTAGGAGCAAGAACGCTACTAGGAGCTCCTGGCCTTACTACTAGGAGCAATGTTTGCTAGTAGAAACAATTAGAATTCAAATTAAAAGTAAAAAAATCACAGTCTCGAGTGATTTTCGTTTCATCTCACATCGACCACACTGTGACCACACCTGATTGGGCTGTCTGGTGAGCCAGGTGATCTGCTTCAGAAATCATTGACCGAGGGGTATCGCAATCTACGCGACCAGGTGCGCTCTGTGCGCGGCCCAAACTTTCATAGTCAGAGCCTTCATCAATGTCCTGCTGAGCAGTTTGCTTTGCAAAAATCCGACACTGGAGACTACAGTAGGTTTCACGATGCTGAAGCCTAATTAGGCCCACTGGAGAAAAACACCTCAAAAGCCTCACAATGCCTAGAGATAGCATCACACCACTTCTATTATATAGTTTCCTTTGCTTAGGTTGGAGGCCATCGCTACTAGGTTCTTGCCAGGCAAAGCGAAGCAATGCGAGTTTCGCTCCAAGAAAGTGTTCTTCACGCAAAGACGATTCTTCAGTTCGGGCGCCAAAGAGGCCAATGAAGAAGTTTCTTCACCCAAAGCACCCAGGGCCCTCAGCTAACAAAGGACGACATGCAAAAAGACGATTTAGAAGACTTGAGACGTACTACAGTATGACATAATAGGTGACATTTACTAGCTCATGTGCATCACTACGATTTAACTATCCCTGAATGCCTTACTTGAGAACACATTATCTTAAACAGTGTCATGCCGTCCCATTAATCACACCTTTCGGGAAGTTCAAAGTATAAAACATGAGACACAGCACCTCATGACACAGGTCACAACATGTCGTTGGCCACCTCACCCTTAGTCTACAAAACTACTAGTGCCTCTTTGGCGACTCTTTGGAATGATCATGCAAACATGTTGAACGGTGACATGATATACAAAAGGAAGAACTTCTCCAACCTACTAGCGATGGCCTCAAACAACGTCTCTCTTTTCTTTCGATTTTACACTGCCTTTAAAGACCCAGTGACATCTCCAAGGATGGGTCCAACTCTGCCAGCATCAACGACTGCTCATGGTCGAGGCCGATACCAGCGTCGGGAGGCACTCCCACTCCACGATTTGCAAGACGAGGCCCATCGTCCAAGATCAGCATAGGTCCCACTTTGTGGATCATCACCTCAAATTGGTTGATTCCTGCCATGCATTGTTTTCTTTATTCCGCTTTCCAGTCTGGCAACAATACAAGTTGAAAGCTAGCATGTAGAGGAAACTACAGTAGTCTTCCAAAGGTTCCTGATGGTCCCTGGCGCAGTCCTCAGTTCCCTTTTGGGGATGGTAGAGTCAACGAAGGGCATACATTGACATATTTGCTCACAGAGTATTACTGGTCTCATTGACGACAATCATGTCATGAACACGTTGAATTCTTTCTAATTGAAACCCCTTTCGTGCACATGTTTTGGCCGCTCTAAATTCTAAATGTGCCAAGCAACTGAAACGGGATGATCAGTCGCCGACATTCCTGGGAATCATGGATGATCGAGAACAAATGTAACAAAGCAAAGCGAAGAATTGAAGTTTAATTCTAATAGCAAACATTGTTACTACTAGTAAGGCACTTGTTACTACTAGCGTGGCACTTGTTACTATTAGAAAAATAAACAAGAAGCTGAAGCAAATCAAAGTAGTATGAAGGAGGACAAGATGAAAGACATACTGAACAAGCAAAAGACCACAGGCCGAGCAGGCCAGAAAAAAGGAGCTTTTGACACCGAGTTCAGGAGTGACTCGATGTGACGTCAACTTCGTTCCGAGGTTCGAAAGAGGTTTTTAAAATGATGCAATCGCCCGAGGAAATCTGCATTGCGTTCAGCCTCGGACGAACACGACGCGTGTTGAGGTGTCCGGCACCGAAGAACACTCGCCTGGCTCTCAGGCTCTGATGGAGTGAGAGAGAGCCTCATTGTCGGAGCCAGTGCTTGCAATTGCAAGAAATGTCCGAGTATAATTTTTGGGATCATTTCTACAGTGCATCTGGGCAGCTCTCTGGCATGCGCGGCTGTACCTGAGGGGAAAAGCCAGCGACTGTCCCTGACAACTGCTTCAAGGGTGTCTCGACATTCCTCAAGTTCCCGGCAATGTTCCCGCACGGCCTCCTCTTCTCCTCAACTGCATCACATCGAGGAACAATACGGACTCTTTCATAAGGCCCCCCGTGCCTAACATTGCCTAACTAACTATGTTTGTCATGAAAAAAGTTATCTGTAGTAACAAGAAGCTACTAGGAACAAGTGCATCGCTACTAGAAACAAGTGCCTTACTAGTAGTAACAAGAAGCTATTAGAAACCGTTTTGTTCTTTTCCTTTTCGGCAAAGTCTTCACGGTTTCAACGCTCGACACCGCAACGCAGGCTCTCCTCCGTCCAGCAGGCTGAAGCCTGGTGGCGCCTGGGGGAGGGAGAGAGAGAGAGAGAGAGACAAAGCAAGTGTTGCAAACGTCAGCAACAATGGACGTGTATGTGTTTACATATAATGCACATATATATGTACACATAACGTATCTACAGCTTGGTTGAAAAGGTTGCCGTTCTTTGTGGTAGCTGCAGCCGCAAATGGCTGCAACAAGAGCAAGACTTGTCAGCCATTGTCGTTCTCTCAGTTTTTTGCATGCCTCAAGCGCCACAGCGCGGCGCACATCGAAGGTGGCCAGCGGCTCCAGCGAAGCCATAACCTAAGAGGGGCGAACATCTCGGTCTTAGGCCACCGCTCAGGTTGACATTGCTAGTAAGGAGGCCATCTCTTGAAAAGTCTGTCTCCAGTGCAACCGAGCTTCGACAAAACTATATATCCAAGCGAATTCTGAGGATTCGTCGAAGTTTGCAATCGCTTGCTTTGGTAGCTTCGTCTTGTCTGACGTCACACTGGAATGTTTGATTCGAGCAAGAATTTGGATAAAACAGTGGGGGTAAAAAGTGGTTTTCAAGAGTATGCCCAATGAATCATTTAAGCGACCCTACAGGAAAGGACGTATTTCAGAGTCATTCATTACCATGCTGACCCAGTTCTCTCTCAGGGATTGGTCTGAATCATCTGTGGCAGCGACTGTACTGCTAAGATCCTTTGCTTCTTTCTCATGGTACTTCCAGATGTGTCTACGCTTGAACAAAGATTCAAAAGCAGGTAGGTTCTTGGCGAGGTGAAGAATAAGCAGCGATAGGCATGCAAAGGGCGGACAGGACATCAGAAAGCCAGCCTGGTCGCGACAACCTGAAGACACTCTGGTCGTTGGTGAAATACAAATTGTCTGAACAAGAAAGTGATTGTCAAATGTCTTTGGTGCACTTCAGTGGTATTGGACGGGCGAAAAAGAAGGTGCATGGCGGCATGTGGCGACACTTTGATCAGGGACAAACAAAAAATGTCGATCACTTCAGCCCACCTCCGGGATAGTTTCAGGCTCCTGTGGGGCGGAGACTGAAGAAAAGATAGTGCGAAGATATGAAATGCAGAAATATTATCTTTTCCTCACTCTGCTCCTCCTTCAGTCTGGCCTGAAAACAATCTCAGAACCACAAGCTTCAAAGCAAAGAACTGGAAAAGAATTCACAGGGACTCACTTGGTGTCCGCTTTTGTCGAAACAAATCTCAACAAGCAAAGAAGTTCATCGATGCCAACTAGGCCAAGGCTGCAGGAAAAGGAAGGCGATGGCTCACCTGTGTTGCCAGTGACTGCGGATAAGGAATTTATGAATGAAGAAAAACTGTATCGCCTCCATTGCATGTGGTCGCTCGGGCCAATAGCCAGATCTGTCGACACTGGGCCTTGCATCAAAACCTTCTGAAAGTGCTGTCTGTGTTCCCGAAATATTCGAAATATACAGCGAAACTGTGCAACACCCATCCCTGCCTCGATGGCCTCAGAAGCGTCAAGAACAAGACAGAAGTGAAACAAGAGCGAAGTTCAACGATGAGTGCCTGCACCGCTTATGCTACTGCTACTTATGCTGATGCATGCACGATGCTGCACAATACGCCGTTTTGGGATTTCGACTGCTCTCCGCGACCGTTCTTCGCTGCGTCGACCAACCTTTTTGCTCTTTCGTCGAAGGGTCTGATCTGCCGGTCCCGGTGGACACCTTCGACAGAGATCCCAACAATGTTCGCTTACTAGTAGTAACAAGTGCCTTACTAGTAGTAATATGTTAGCTATTAGAAACAAGAATTCTAATAGCAAACATTGTTATTACTAGTAAGGCACTTGTTACTAGAAGCGATGCACTTGTTACTAGTAGCTTATTGTTTCTAATAGCTGAATTCTTATTTCAAAAACAAAGGCCTCTTTGATAAGGCCTTAAAGAGTCTCTGTATCTTCTTGTCTTTCCTTTTCTTTTCTTTTTCCTTTCTTCTCTCAAAACGTCATTCAAACAAGATGTGTGTCATACACAGGCAGTATGGTGTCACTGCATTCTGGTGTGTGACTATGTGTCACCGCTCCCACCTTGGTATCCTTGGCAGTGCTGGTCGGTTCTTCCCGCGGCCGGTGGTACCAAAGATTTAAGCTCAAAGCAACGCAATGCTCATCCGGCACTGTGAAAACAGCATGGTGCCAGCCAGATGGAATGTACCTTGAATTGAAAAACTGTGGCAAAGAGGGGCGCTCGGGAAGCTTTCCAAAAACATTTGTGGTAGACCTCATTGACAAACAACAGTGGGTGACATGGCAGGTCTGATGAACACATTGGCAACTTGCAACACTTTCTTGACGTTTGGATCATAGATATGAAAACCGTTGATGGAACCCAAGAACTGGAGCGCAATGAACCGTTGCTTTGGTCCGGAAAAAGGATGTGCGCGTGAGCATCGAAGGACAGCCATGGAGGTTGTCTTCAACACTTCTTCCACAAACACTTCTCAACACTCCTTAGCAACACCAAATCACAAGCCTTCTCTCAACACGCACTTCATCCAACACTCTTTCAAAACACGGTGTCAAAACAGGCTTCCCAAGACTTGTTCGCAACACGCTTGTCAACACTCCCTCGTGACACTTCTCCTAGTACAACAGCTACACCACGTATACATCCGCGGGCACTTATAGGCGGTGGACCATTGCGAAACCTTGTCAATACGAAGCCACACCAAAACACCATCAAACACCTCGATAACAGGAATGAACCGTGCCCGCCCGATCCCGCCCGGCTGCTTTCCACCCTTGGAACAAGGAGCAAAACGTCACCCGGATGAATTTGGCATGAGATGCCTTGAGCCTTTCGGGATTACCACAAATACTTCTCACATATTTCTATTTGTCCACTTTCTCAAGTTTTGCCCTCCTCCTGGTAAGTCTCCAAGAACTCTTCAGGCACTGCAGATGATCCGGCCACATCTAGGAGGGAATGGCCTACAAGGGAGGTCCAACGACATGCTGACCAAACAGAGAGAAACCAAAAGAAACAAGCAAAAAATTCATAGAGGATTCATAAGGCCCTGCAGTGAAAAACAACCAACAGGGACTTCATGGCAATCGAATGTACATGGTGTGTGTTACTAAAAACACACGTGGGGGACATGGTTTGTTTGCTTTGTCTCCGCCTCTACTGCGACGATGCAAGTTGCGCACAGCTCCCAGCTGGACTTCGCCATTTGGTGTCAGGTCCACTTGGGGCTCGGCGTCGACTACCTCCTGGAGCTCGGACCTCGGACCTTCGGACCTTTTTGGACTCCAACTCAAACGATTTCTAATAGCAAACATTGTTACTACTAGTAAGGCACTTGTTACTAGAAGCGATGCACTTGTTACTAGTAGCTTCTTGTTACTACTAGTAAGGCACTTGTTACTAGAAGCGATGCACTTGTTACTAGTAGCTTATTGTTTTCTCAAGTTTCTAGACTGGTCACTTTTGATGCCTGTTTTTCGTTTATATGTTCTGTCTCCGTTCTTTCTAATCCTACAGACTTCCAGCCAGCCTGTTCCAGTCGTCTTTTGTCAAATTTTTGCTGTCGGAGTCAGCTAGCGATGTCCAAGGCTTAATGCCTGTTTATTCCGGGGAGCGCCATGTTATATCCTTGTTCGTGCTCACGGCGACATTAGGAACCCCAAAGGTTTGTATCGTATGCTTTGAAGCCCCCATGATCATTGATTCGTCTGGTGTGGTGGGGTTCGGGGGGTGACGCGGAAATGCAAGCAATGGAGTTCCATTGGAAAGAACATTGTCTCAGAGAGAGGTCCCGAAGGGATGATGCAAATGCAAAAGCGCTCGCTACTAGGGGCTCCTGGCATCGCTACTTGGCATCGCTACTAGGAGCAAAGGGCAATTCTGCCCAACAGCTGGCAGGCGCTTTGACCTGGTTGGCCACGCGAACCAGACCCGATATCGCTTATGCTGTCAACAAATGTTCCAGTTGCATGACTTCAGATCCTGACAAGTGCATAGGGCTGGCCAAGCGGTTGCTTCGGTATGTGCAGGGGGTCATCAGGCCTTTCAAATACCCTTTGGCAAAAGTGCGTCTTCATTCTGGGACGGATCCTTTGCCCCTACTGGAGATTACTCGCGCTATGGTATGGCGCTGATGTGGGAGGGAGTGCCCCTGAGCTGGCGCACAAGTCGTGATAGCTTTGAACACAGCAGGGGTTGAACAATATACGCGGCTGCCGCTGGTCTTCCGTTAGCCTTGAGCACGCGTGACACACTCAATGACATGGGTGTTTTGCGCGACGTGGAACTGACGCTTGGCAGCCAAGCTGCTTTCCGTATAGCTATTGAAAGAACAACCTGGCGAACCTGGCACTTTCAGCTCCAAGCTGCAGCGCTGCAGGATTATGCATCCCCCGGATTGATCACGCTTCATGTTGCCAGCAAGGATCAGACGGCAGATGTTCTTACTTCTCGCGAAGCACCTTCCTGCAAAACTTGCGACTTACACACGGCAGAGTTTGGGTTCCAATGACCAATCGTTGGCTACGGCCAGCTAACCCGAGAAAGAGAGACAGGGACGAAAGGTTTGAGCCACATTTACAGGATCACTTTAACCCAAGACAGTTGAACATCTTTTTTTGTTTCTTCGAAGTAAGCCTCAGGTGAGGAGGAGGGTGAAGGACACTGTTCACTGCGCTCCGAGGCCTGTTAGCTAAGCACTGAGGCCTTTCAACTAAGGTGTGCTTACTACACACTGAGGCATGTGGCGTCTGAGCCTTCGAAGCCTCTTCTTTCCCGAGTGAAAAGGAATGATTGTGATTTATGTTCCTTTTTTGTAACGTTCTTTGTCACTGTCGTCCGATTCAGTTTGCTGTTTTTTTGTTCGCTGTGGTTTATTTGCCGTCCGTTCCCTTCTTTCTTGATACGATTCAAATGATAAGTCCTCGTACTGAAGCTTCTCTTTCTCGCTGGGCTTCAAAAGAGACACTTCCTCACAACAGCAAGTCGTGGTGAAAACATGCACGAGTAGAATATGCATTCAACAAGATTTCAACAAGCTACATGTTAATATCAAAAACCGTAAAAAAAAGGAACACTCGTAAACAACACACACATATGGAATTGCTCTCTCGAGCCCCTGCTTCCAACCACACGGGAAAGCGGTGGCCTTTGTGCCCGTGACCTGGATCAAAAGATTCTCCGGACCATCAACGTGGTAGCCAGTGGTAACCACACCTCTGGCTATCAAAAAGAATGTTTCATAAATTTGCACTCCGGTCCATAGCAATCGTCTGCACACCAACATCTTACCATGCGTTAAAAATGGACTCTGGGAGAAAAGCTCCGGGAAACTTGATGTCAAAAATGTCAGAACTGAGTCATAACCCATACACCCAGCACAGCCCCTCATCAAAGGACGGAAGAGGGGGAGGAAAGAAACAAAAGGAAAGATTCAGACAATAAAGAATAGTTGTCAATCCCCCCGAAGGCTGAGATGCTCAGAAGTAGGCACAACTCCTTGGAAAGGTTGAAAGTGTGAAGCTATGAGTCAGGCGCGAAGGGTCGTGAGTCAGGAAACCTCGATGGCGGTGAGTCAGGAAACCTCAGTGGCAGAACCTTGGGGGAGCGAGTCAGGAAACCACCAAACAAGAAACGGATCTATGGAACATTTGAAAGATTAAAACTATGAGTCAATGACAGGACCCTCTGGTGGCTCACAAAAGGGTTTGCTACGTTAGCATGGCTCCTTCCTTCTCTAAATTTTACCCTTGAATGGCTCACAAAAGATATGCTACATTACGAGCAGGTCCAATCGGAACATACATTGGATAGTTGGGACAAGGACGCAACAGTTCTATTCAATCTTGACAGATTTTCTATTTCTTACTGTTTTTCCTCTTTTCCTCTTCTCTTGTGTCTTTTATTTTGATTCTCTGGTTTTGTCCTTTCTCTTCTCACTTCTCCTTTTCTCTCCTCCTCTTCTATCCTCTGATGAGGGTCTGTGCTGGGTTTCAGTGTTTTGACATCAAGGATCCCAGAAGTATTTTTCCCAGGGGCGGTTTTGAGAAGACGTTGATCTGAATCTTCTGAATGTTCTTGATGTCTTGTTGCCTCAACACATCCATCCGACATGCCCGGCCCGAGGACAGCCACAGCGACGGCTGTAGCAGCTGCAGCGGGCCCATGGCAGCACCAAGTCCGGTGCTGCGCAGCAGCGTGTGGAGCGCTGCGAGAGCTTCAGAACCCAGATCCGCCACCTGTGCTTGGTTCAGGTAGATCTCCTGCGTTAAAACATCCATTTGCAGCGTTGTTGCGTAACATTAGGCTTGCCCAGTAGAACTGCTTTCTTTTGCAAGATAACACACTTAAAGTAAATCACGCAGTGTTTCATCTAACAGTCCTGGGACGGATGTCGTTGCGCCCACGACACCGCATCAGCAAAGCGCATATGCCACGAGCCTGTGAGAGCTGTGGCAACGTGAGAAGCATGAAACTGAAG